TTGCCACCTTGTCTTTTACTACAGCCCCATGAGCTTCTCTCAAAGCAAGGTCTGGGCCTCCCTCTACATCCTTCAGACCAACTCAGATGCAAAGGGGATCTAGCACACTGCATTTGGCAGTAAAAATGCAGGGTTTTCAGGTGTTTTTAAATTTCTTCAGTGTTTAGCAGGTGCTTTTCATTGTAGTCAGCAGCCATTAGACCCAGAGGGTGACAGACAGTGACACTTATACTGTCACCAAAGACAAGGAGAGGACTCACCAGAGAGCAAGGGACCGATAATAAGCCCCATAAGGAAGCATGGAAGGGAAGGCTGGGGCAGGGGCTGTTCAGCTTCCTGCTGCTTGTTCATTCAATGTGTGGTCATCAAGTATCTTCTGTGTGGTGGCACCAGACTCAGTACTGAAGACACAGTGCTCATTCAGAATAACAATTCCATTCCTCAAGAACAGGACAGGATCTCAAGAGAAACAGGCTTTACGCAATTCACTTTCTAATTGCACTTTAATAGTCATGGTTATAGCCAGGCACCGTAATCCCAACTACTCAGGAGGTTGAGACAGGAGGATTGAAAATTTGAGGCTAACCTGGGCAATTGAGGAAGACTCTGCCTCCAAATAAAATTGAAGGGCTAGGAATGAAGGTTAGTGGCTGAGCACTATGTATTCAATTCCTAGTACCAGAAATAAATAACAGCTACAAAGAACAAGTTGCAAAAAAAAGAAGAAGTTGCTTTGGCATCATAGAGCTAGGAAACCTGCTCCAGTCTTCATGATCAAGTAAAGGTCCCCTGTGCAAGTAACACTTAGATCAAGAGAAAAGGAGGGCAGGAGTTAGTGACAGGGTGGCAGTGGGGTGGGGACTACGGACCATCCTGTGGCATTTGAAAAGTAGTCAAGGAAGTCCAGTGGGAGTGGGGAGATAAAAAGAGAGGCAGGAGGAAGAAACTCTAGGATAAGAAGAGGCTGGAGAAGTAGGTAGAGACCAAATTATACCCATGGTTCCAGTTGGACAGCTGTGACAAGATGCCAGGCAGGTGGTGAGGACCTCAGCCACGGCAATAATGATGAAAAGGACACATTCAAGAATAGCAACCAGACAGGATTTAACAATGTAGTCAGCATGGAGAGTGACAGTGCAGGAGGGGCCAGAGATCATGAAGCAAAGATTTACTGAGCTCCTTCTACACATGCACGTGCAGTGATGGAAACATGAACAGATTCCAGGATGATCCTCAGGATTCTGGTCTCATCACCTGGGCCGTTTTCAAAGGCAACAAAGACTGAAGAAACAAAAAGAAAAAAGCCAAATGTGGGGAGGATAAGTGTTGGATATTATATTTGAGGGGCTTTAGGAGACATCCCAGTGGAGATGTTGGGGAGGAGAGTGCTCATCTGAGTCAGGAGCTCAGGAGCTCAAGAGAGAGGTTCCATCCCATGATACTAACACCAGCATCATGGAGTCCAGGGGTCACTGAAGCCACAGGAGTGAATAAGATCCACGTTGTTACTCGAAGCTTCTGACTGCTCATTTCACATGTCAACAGAATTCAGAGACACAGGATTGAGATGTGCATAAGAAATTGTTTGAAACACTAACAAATTTACTCACCACAGGAAATGATTCAACCAAAGGCTAACTAGTCCTGTATACTGTTCAAGGAGTTCAAGGGCTAAAGTACAAAGACATTCTTTTTAGTTCTCGGACTTGGCCACCAGTGACAAGTGTAGGGTTTGAGCAATGAGTTTACCCTGGGAGGTTGGTAGAATTTACAAGTGCTACCTGGAAAATAATGGGGTGGAAAAAATACTTCCAAGTCCATACATAGATATTATATCCTTTGTGTGTTGATTTAAATGGATCTTAAACCATTAAATTAATTCAGTAGAAATTCGTGTCGGCATTCAACAAATACACTGAATATTACAGTGTCCCCCAAGCTCCAGATACCAGTGACATGGATGATCATTTACCTGAATAGTTTGCTGGTTTTCACCCAATATAAAGGAGAGAAATTTTGTGTTGGCATCTGAATCCTGCTCCCAAACAGAAAGAAGTGTAAATCAGCTTGTTACATAACACCTGGTTAACAGTAATGTAACTTTTCATTTTTCAAAATGCATCCTGACATTTTCTCCATACTTCTTAGAAGACCACTTTGGTCCTGACTTTGTGCCTTCCACAGAATTTGTGGAAAACTCTCAGGGCAGAACTTTATTTTCAAGCAAAGACAATGTTTACATCCAAAGAGTTCCTTCCCTCCAAGGGTCTGAGCTCTTCTAACTTCACCCAAGGAAAGACCACATTGCAGCCCCCAGCAGGGCCTCCTGGGGGATTGTGTTGGCCCAGTACTGGACAAACTGAGCAGCACCGTTCTCACAGACCAGGGTTTTACATTGTGCTACTTGAATGGCCTTTTGCAAAAACCACTGGTTAACATGACCCCATTTAGGGCCAGTAGCTTTGTACCCTCACAAAGTAGGAAAAACCAAGACAAGGGGAATCAGAGGTCAGGAGATGAGTGGAAGAGTGGGTATCCATGATTTCTTTTCAGGCAAAACCTCAGTTAATCATTAATAGCTTTTCACTGCTTGAATTTTAGTTTTCCTTGAAAAAGAAAATATGCGTTATCTTTAGAGAAAAGTTTTGGTCAAAAGAGGCTACTGTTTTAAGAGGGGAAATGTCGGAGCAAAGACATTCTTTGTTTTCTTGTCCCTCCAGATACACTGCAAGTACTTTGCCTGGCCTAAAAGTATCATTTGCATTGGAAAGAAAACTAATGCAAACAAATTTATTTCAGCTCATACTCATAATTCAAAGAATATATCCACAAATGATGTCCTATTAAAGATCCATTATATTATACGACCTTTGTTTTCACTTTTTTTTCCCAAAATTTACACATTATTATCCTTATTGTAGATTATACAATGAAAAACAATAAAGCCGACCAGTGCAACTGGATGATGTATGGGCTTTTTTCAAAACCTGAAATTATGAAATCTTCTCTCAGAAAATACAAAATTACATTATCCAATTGGAAATAGTTTGCTTTCTTTCCACACCCCGAACATCCTTACCAATGTCAAGGAAGAGAAAGGCTCTTTTTTGCTTGTCATTTTATTTGCAAGATTTGTCTGAATATTGGAGAAGAATGTTCCATGTATTTCAGAGACAGCAATTTCCAAGCCATTTGGCTTGAGAGATGGTTTAAATAGGAGTGAATTTAATATACCCTTAATTCTCTGAAGTAAGGGACTCCAGCTGAGGTTTGGTCCAGGGCAAAGTCTGCTGTCGACACTGAAGAAAATCTATCACATTAATTCCAGTGGTTCAGAGTCCAAAGCTGCAAGAACAGAATGCTCAAAAATAGGTAATGTGAGAAGAATGCTTTGGAAAGAAACTTTAAAATAAAATGGCTATTCAGAGAATACAAGGTCTTATATGGAACCGTTACCAGTTAAGGAAAGATATAAATAATTATGTCTGAGAAATACAGCTAATTAAAAATAACCCAATGCACAAAAGCAAAAGAAAACTATAGAATAACTTTTCTGCTGCACTGTTAATGTGAAATGCCACATAATGAAATAGTAGAATTTTTTTTTAAATTTCATTTCACACTTGCATAGAAAAGATGGAGGAGAAAATTATATTGCCACAAAATGCCAGGATAGATTTGCTAAAGTTGTTATCATGTACTGTATTTAAAACAAAAATCTAATTGCTGTAATTTATCATAGGTCTGGGTATTAAAACCTTGCTAATTTTAAAATTTTAATCATTTGCCACTTTGTGCTCAGTGACTTTTCCTGGAAGATACTATGAAAATTTCTGATTCCATCAGTCTTTTATAATTTTAGGGGCTCCTACACATGATTAACATGCATTAAACATATAATTGTGTTTACATCATTGATTAAAAAAAAATTCCTTTTGTTTTCCGCTTAGTCTGTTCAATGAAATATCTGAAGCTGCTTTCTCATTGCTGAGCCCAGTGTGTAAGAACACAGGCTGCTGAGCCCATTTGAATTCCCAGAGCACACATCTAGTACTATAAAGAGCAGGGTGGAGCCCACCTTCCTTTTTGGTTTGGAGAGGATTCTTTTAATGATCAGAGAAATTTGAAAGACATGAGTCTATGATTTCTGCATGAATTTGCTCCTTGGTCTGAAGAAGTCAGTGTTTCCTAAGTCAAGGTGGCAAGACCTCTCTTACAAAAAACAAGCATTCAGTTGTACTTTCTCCCACTGACAGAAGAAAGGGAGGGAGGAAAGAAAGGGATTGTACAATGCAGAAGAAATGCTATCTAGGTGTAAAAATGACTGCTAGAGGGAGAAAAGATGGAGGGAAAAAAGAACTTATAAAGAGGGAAGTCGCCAGAAGCCAAATCATTTCTCTGCTGTGGGTGTGGAAAGCCTTGGGGAAATATAGCCTATTTCAACACAACATACGGGCTGTGACCAATGGTCTCCACCCTGGGAAAAGCATAGTGGTTTGATGAGGTTTGTGCATTTTGTAAAACCAAACTATGATCTTATATACCAGAGGATTCATGAGTGTAGCATGTAAGTGTGTGTTTATTAAAATCCTGCATTAGTTCCAAACAAAAGAAACAATATATAAATCAGTTTCCTAAATCACAATCAGGAAACCTACTCCAGACCAAACCTACATTCAGTGTAGTCATAGGTTCAAGTTCAAGAAGCCAGTACCCCCACATCTGCTTTATTGAGGTACTAAGGGACTTTGAAGTCCAACACTTTGATGGGAAAAATTAAAATTAGACTCACTTAAGGTCACAGATCCAGACACAGACCACACATGGAGATCTTGCCTCGTTGACAGGAATCTCTTTTCAGTCCCAAATCATTCCTGCTTCACCTCCTTCCTGACCTCACAACGTGCTCCCCTGAATAGAGGTTCTACACCCTTTTTCTTCCTTCCCTACAATAAGTGTGGGCTCTCCACCTGATCAATAACCGGATCTTTTTTCTGCAGGTGCAAAGTTCCCCATTAAGTGGACAGCCCCTGAAGCAGCCTTGTACGGGAGGTTCACGATCAAGTCTGATGTATGGTCTTTTGGAATCTTACTCACAGAGCTGGTCACCAAAGGAAGAGTGCCATACCCAGGTAAGCCCAGAACCCTCAGAAATGAGCCTTTGATGTGTTCCCTTTTGATATCATTGGGAAGACTGCACCCAATTGCCTTTCTAAGCTTCATGCTCAGCTTTCTGGCAAGCAGGAGTTTAAAGAATATGAATAGGTAGTTAGCCAGAGGAAAGCAGAGCTGGAAGCCACCATGGCATACAGACAGGCAGCCACCGTGACCTTGTGCCAGAATTAATGTAATTAGCAGCTGGAATGAATGCTTCAGTCTCGGTGGTTTGTGGACCCTCTCCTCTGTCTGGAGGAGCATGTGTCTGTGTCTCCCTGAGCAGAAATGTCACTGGCAAAGCCTCCACCCAAATGGAGTTTGCAGACATGTCTGGGAAAGAGAAGGAGAAAAGCCCCTACAGCTTTTTGATCACTCTATAGCACTGGCCCATGGAGCAAACCTGGCAGGAAGGTGCCAGGCCTGAGCTCTCTCCCCTCAGCAAGCCTGAGCTGCAGATGTCCAGAGAGCAGAGGCACACAGAAGGCAATTTAGAGGCCATTCACTGCCTGCTGCTGTACAGTCAAAATATTCTTTACAAAAGCAAAGGAACTAGAGATTCTTAGACCCTGGAAATTTTTTTGGATTATCAGATTCGTGCTCTCCAAAGAAACCATGGGTTGAGGTTATCCATGCTTAAATTCATTAATTTAGACAGATGGAGACATAAAGGACATTCGTGCCATTTCACCTCCACGCTTTAGTGGTTATATCGCAGGGACGATCTGCTTTTTGAAATGTTAAGGACATATTTTTCAGTTACTGCTGAGCGAAGAAAGAACATAACTCTCCCTCATTCCCTGCCTAAAAGTGGAGCTTAAGAAAAAAGGAAAACACAGTGCACACACACACACACACACACACACTCTCTCTCTCTCTCTCTCTCTCTCTCTCTCTCTCTCTCTCTCTCCCTCTCATAGAAACGATAGTGGAGATTAATGAGGAATGTAGGTCTCTTGCAAATCCTGGGTTTGTAATCATATCTTTGCAGTCAGAGGAGCTGGAGAGAGGCGATTAATTTGTAATCCCTTTGTTCATTTCGTATGATTGTTTCTGGTCATCTTCAGAGAACGCAGAGAAATACACATAAAGAGGATCTCTTTCTGGGTTGGTATCGCCTCGAGACCCCTTAGGAAGAGCCAGGTTGGCACTGATGTGAAATTGACAAAATCCCATCTCTGAAGTGCCAGCACCAGGCATTGGGAAATGCGGGAGGAAGTCAGTTTTATTGATGCTGCAGTGGCTGCTGCTCCCGGCATGCACAAGTGGGCAGACACTCCGGGAATAGCCAACCAGCTCAGAAGAAAGGGCTGCCCTGGAGGGGGCTGGAGCACAGCATGGGAGCTTTTGAATTGCTTCTCAAGGGGGAAAATGTGCTGGTCTCAGGATTTTGAAGATGTGAAGGCACCTCTTTTTTTTTTTTATTGTCTGCATTTTGAACTAATTTCTTCCTGATCCCCCCAGGTTTATAGTCACCCTGTGTGTTAAATGCAATCAGGGGAAAAGGTTAATGTTGTTTTGCGTTTCTGTGAAGCCTTTCCTTTTCAGTGATACAAAGCTGCTTTTTGTTTCTGGGGGTAGCACACAGAAGCCAAGACAAAGGGGTGGAGGTGGGGCCCTCAGAGAAGGAAGGCAGGTGTGTTTCTAAGGGAGCCTTTTGTCAGGTTGGCTTTTTAGCATAAAGAAAATAGCCTCATTTTACAACTTAGACTAGATCCATTCAGTCAGGATCACTTCCCTCAGCGTGAACTGTGCCAGGCATTTGTTTCACCAGGGAAATAATGCAAAGAAGACATTCCTTCTCAGCTGATATTGATCAGTACCTGCCTCAGACAATGATCTAGGTGCTAGAGGGAGAAGAGTGAGCAAATACGGGGAGCCCCTGCACTCAGGGGGCTTACGCTCAACACCCAGAGAGAGATCCCAGAAGAAATCAGCCTTACTTGTGGTGACTTATTTATTATTAGAGGAAATCCTCCTCAAGGTGTGGACTCCTTGAGCTCACCCCCTGAGTGCTCTAAGCCTTAATTCTCATACGGAGCCAGGGGTAGCTGCTTCAAAAACTTCCATACAAGAGATGCTGAGAAGGGCCTTTCACTGAGAACCCCCCAAAGCCGGCGAGGGAGTCTGAAGTGAGAACTGTACCCAGTGTGTTGTGCACAGCTACATCTGCGAGCAGCTGCTGGTCCACTCTGGGCTGTGATAACTGACCCTCATCTCTGTGTGTAAGTGGGGGTGGAGAAGAGATGGGGAGGGCTTTGTGAAAAAGGCAAGTGAACAGTGAACCAGAACTTGGAAGGCAGGCCGGGCTTCTTCACATCCAGGGAGCCGAAAGTCCCCAAGCCTGGCACATTGGGAGCAGCAGGACCTGGGAGGCAGGGCCAGGTCAGGAGCCACAGGAAGAGTCTGAGAAGAGGGCTAGTACAGTACCACAGGGAGATATAAGGTCCTGGCTCTTGGCAGCAGTGGTCAGGGAGCTGTGTCGGGGGTGGGGAACAGTGTTTGAACTGCTCTTCATCACCAAGCGCCTCTGAAAAGTGTCCCCAGGAAAGATACTCCTAGCTGGCTGTGGGTCTTCCTAGTTTTTTTGTTAAACTTAACTGTAATCATATTTAATTGGACTTCTGAGTGTGACAGGAAACTCTTCATGAGGGAGAAGCTTCCAGAGAGGGATTGCAATTATGAGATTATTCCCTTAATGAAGGATAACAGTTCCAAGAAACAGTTTCATTAAGCATCATCTAGCTGTCACCATGAAAGGAAAGACCTTCCTCCACGTTCTTGCTGGTTGTTGGTGTGGCCATTTCAGTGGTGTGTGCTGAGGGGGTCCCCTCTCCTCAACGCTCCTGAGTTGAGTCTTGGTGCCTGTTGGTGGTGCCCCATGACAGACTCCCAGTCCCTGTCCATTGGGGACTTCCATTCTGTATTTGGATGTAGTAATTTCTCAGTGGGATAGAATATATTTTTAAGTAAGTCTTTTTTAAAGAATGATAAGTAGTGGTACATTTTTCTGAGTTCTTCCATAGCCAAGGATGGTCTCTGTCACCCCATCACACAGGAAAGGTACTTTGGTGTTTAAAATGAAGGTGGTGGGGGAGGAGGTGGGCATATGAGCGAGATTTGTAAAAGCTTCTCAGACTTTTTGGCCAACACACAAGTGATTAGTGAAACGAGCATCAGACAAGGAGCTTAGAATGGAGTTCGTGAGGCGTGGCCAAATGAAGGGCAAACGGACCAGCAGCCAGGAAAGCATTGGACTGGTTGGTTAGGCAGCCTATTTTTAAGAAGGAATGGATAAAAAGGAAGGAAAGAAGGACAGTTTCAAAATGAACTGAGAACCTTGAAACCAAAGAAAGAATGTAGAAATGTGATGCTGGGATTGACAAGGAGGAGGTGAGCCAAGGCACAGCACCTCACCCTAGGGGGCAGTGTGACAGAGATGGACCCTGTTCTGAAGGACAGCTCCATTGGACCCAGTCCCTGCCAGCAGCCTGACCTAGGTGCATTCTCAGTTGCAGTCCAGCTTAATCTTCTGAAATCCAGGGATTTGAACCATTCTTTGCATCGAGATTAGACCTGATTTTATGCAGATGGACTGTTGTACCTGAGAAATGAAAACATTTAATTAAAAGCCGTTTTCTGGGGTTGATACATACCATCAGAGTTACGCATTTTAGCCTAGAATTCACCTTCAAAACCTCACTCAAATCTTTTTCTCTCTGCCTTCACTACCACTGCCCATGTCGGGTTATGACCTCCTAATGGGACTTATTGCCTCCAGTCTCTCCTCCCTGCCTCCTTTCCACCACCACCATTCTGTCAGGTGTCACCAGCAGAATTGTTATCCTGGAAAACACAGATCCATTTACCTCACACTCCTGGTTAAAAACACCAGGGCTTCCCTTTGCCCTCCAGATAAACTTCAAAGTCTTCGTTTTTCATAGTATCTCAGAAGTCTTCTCCTTCGTTGATTCCACAGATATTTATTGAACAGCTACGATATGCCAGGTACAGTTCTAGGCACCAGGAATATTGCAACAACCAACATGAAAACCCATGCCCTCATGAACTTGCTTCTTGAAGAAGAGCAACAATAAATAAAGAAAAACAAGCTAAAATATATGGAATGTTGGCCAGTGGTGATGGGTAGAGAGAAAATAAAATGGGAAAGGGTAGAGACAATGTCAGGAAAGGGTGACAGGAAGCTTGAGCCTCAAGCCAGGTACTGTCATAGGGAAGGGAGACTGGCTCCTGAAGAATACAAAGATGGCAGAACCAACTTCAGAAGGCCAAGGAGGCTAAGCACAGACAGCGAGAGTCCCCTGGGGGTCGTTGTTAGGATTTCTGCTTTTACGGATGTGCAGTGGGCAGTGAGGGCTCCTGAGCAGCAGAGTGACAAGATCTAACTTATGATCTCACCCTTGTCATTCGCCTGCCCTCACAGGCTCCCCAGGACACACCAAGAGATCTCTTTTGAACATGCAGGTCTCCCTTCTGCCCAGAGTCTTTCAAAGCCTCTCCAAACACCACTGCCTTTGTGAAGCCTGTCCAGACCAAGCGGGTCGCCCTCTATGTGACACCGGCGTGTTTCTGCTGAACACCTGTTACGTGTCTGCATTTCCCAGTAGCTCTGCCTTTCCTGGAGGGGAAAGGAACTCCTTTTATGCATTGCCAGCGCACAGCACAGTCTCTGCCCCAGAGCCGACTCTAGAAGCAAATGAACGAATGAGAGAGACAGTGGGGAAAGCTATGAAGTTTCTGAAGCAAGCTTTTCAAACCTGGCCCATAACCCACAAGGCCTTTTTAATTGTTCCATCGTCTTCACACATAATGTTTTCCCAACCACGAAGAAGCCTCTGTCCTCAGAGTTGTTCTGGGAAATTGACCCTGCACCCTCCTAGGCAGAATGTCCTGGCCATTCTGTGCCCTGGCCCTTCACTGAACACCTGCTTTGCATATTTGGCAGATCTCTCAGAGC